CCCCCTCACTGCTTAAACCAAGTGAGATGGTTCTTCTATGGCCGGGCTACCACGACCGAAGTAAAATGTCCATGCTATGCTAGCAACCACATGGCCGAGATTCAACTAGCCTGGTCTTTTACTCCGCAGTTTGTACCTCGGTTTCCCTGTCGAGACCGAGCTAAATTAAGAGTGAGGCTTGCTTTCTCTTCATCATGCCTTGGTTCCAAATAGTGCGGCCGAGCTATCCACGCCTATGGTAATCGAGATAACTCCGCAAGATTATGACCGAGTTAACTCAGTGCGACGACCGAGCTTACCTTAGGACCGGCGTAACTTCAAGATTCTCCTAGACCGGTCTAACTTTTCGGCCTTAGGACCGGACTTGCTTCGAAATATTCACTCGACCGGAGTAACTTACATGGCCATTTTACTCGGCCCATTGTATTGCGGCCCGAAACGGCCCATTTACCCAGCTCGGCCCAATTTTCCATACAAATTACCCTCACAAAATCTATCATCAAATTCAAATTTAATGAAAAATGCCTAAAACATGATCTTATCATTTTCAATGAGAATTTTTTTTTTTCGTCTCTAAGACCCTTTAGCGACGACCCTTTGGCGACAAAACGGGTGACGAAAAATGTTCGTCGTAATTACTTTGGATGACGAAATATATACATTTTGGGACAAATTTGTTTCGTCTTTAAATCCCAAATTTGTTGTAGTGAAGACTCTGCCAAAAAGCATGGAGGAGCTCATGGCAAAGATCGAGAAATATGCCAGAGTAAAAGAGGACACGCCGGGAACAAAGGCGCCAAAACAGGAGAAGAGAAACGGCTCGCCGAAGTGAGACCAAAGTAATACTGGATATAACAAGCAAGAGACAGGACTGAGGGCTGCACAAGCAATCACCACTGTGTTCTGAATCCCGATTTACAAAGTTCTAGAAATGATCAAGAACCAGCTGTATTACAGAGCGCCGGAGAGGATCCATGGCGAATTTATGGGGAGAAGTCTAGGGAAGTACTGTGCCTACTATAATGAAGATGGACACTTGACGCAGGGTTGTAGAGCCCTAAAGGCACATTTGGAAGATCTGGTCAAACAAGGTCACTTAAGAGACCTAGTAAATGAGGCCCAAATGAGGGAAGAACAGGCAAGGCTGCCCCAGGCACCGGCAGCACCACCTCCACCAGCACCACAACCGCAGGCAGACAGACCTCGAGTAATCAATGTGATTCACTCGAGGGTCAATGAGAATGAGGTACGTGGGGAGACTTAGAGGGTGAAGCACTTACAACATGTGTATCAGGTCCAGCAAAAGAGGCCTAGGACAGACGAGTACCAAGGACCAATGGTGTCCTTTACTGAAGCCAACCTAGACATGGTGCATCACCCACACAACGATGCTCTGGTAGTATCCCTCAAGATTGGAGAATGCCAAGTAAGGCACATTCTGATTGACCAAGGCAGCTCTTGTGACATCATGTGTGTCAGATGTTACAAGGAGCTCGGCCTTCACTGAGATGATTTGGAGCAAGCCAACAGCCTAATGGTTGGGTTTAATGAAACGTCGACATGACCCCTGGGAGCAATAAATTTGGAGATGCAGGCAGGCACTAAGAGGGTAAGCACAGAGTTCACAGTAATTGACACCCCTTCCCCTTATAATGTTATCTTGGGAAGGCCATGGTTGCACGCAGTAAGGGCTATTCCCTCAATACTGCACCAGTTGTTGCGGTTCCCAACGGTGCATGGAATTAAGAAAGTCAGAGGGGATCAAGTGCAGACAAAATGTTGCTCCATGGCGGCAATGAAATCCACCTATAACGTACGAGAAGTAGAAACAGTAAAGATTAAGGACGAGGACATGGACGTCCCGGATGACGTCGGAAAAGAGCCGGCTGACAAAAGTAAGGAAACCTTAAAGAAGATCCT